AGTGCCTCTTCTTTTTTCTCCTTCTCTCCTTGGATTCTTGGTTGCACACACTGAAGACTTATATTTCATATTTGTCCTGGGCCTGGAGCCTTTGTTTCATGGCTTACATTACCTGCTTTCTTCCCTTGCCTTGTCTACTTTACTGAGCTCCATTCCCCACCTCTTAGTCCTTGACTTTACCTTCCCTGTAGTGGCTCCTGGCTTGAGCCTCTAGTGGCTCTTGTGCCTCTTTGCTGTTTTCCTGGGCTCTAGTCTATTAGTGTGCCTTGCCTATCATCTCTGACTTCTCCCTTTTTCTTGCTTTTTTATTTTTTCTCATCCTTCTTGACCCAGGAGACATGTGCATTTTATCAGTGATATGTTAGTTTGAAATGGCTCATCAAGATACACTGAGATTTTATGGGAGATATGTCATTTGATTGATCTTGAAGCCCATGCTTGAAAGTATTTAGAATTTAGTGTATGCTTAATAAACAGTTTGTGAATTATTAAAACAGTGAGTATATCCTATTAGTCTAAGGAGACCAGTGTCAGATATTGTCATTTGTTTCTTAAGAAATTTTATTCTACCATTCATTTTTTTAATGCAATGCAGTTTTTTGAAAATTAATACAAGGATGCCTTTCAGGATATCATTGGAATTAATCAGGAGAAATGCAATGAAGGCTGAGAAGAGGGACACATTCCCTTTCTAATGGAAGCAGATCTCATATCAACTCCTTCCCTCCTTGCTTTAAATACACACACTCCCACTGTGGGATTTTGGTAGAGCTGCCACTCACAGTGGGTATCATCTCAACACAGTTATTTGTCCACTTTGTAGTACAATGAACATATTGTTTCTCCTCCCTCCAATTATCAGTGTTGGTGAACTCCATAGGACCCAATCATGCCAAAATTTGTGAGATGAACCAAATAATAATTCTAAGCTGAAACATCAGCAATTTCATAGCAGAAGAATGATCTACAAGGGCAGAAACTCACAGTAATTTTAGACATGTATTACAAAATACAACATAGGCTGCAATTGAAATGATGGCCAAATGAAGACAATTCCATCAATGTTCATTTTCCTTACTTCTTTCTTTCCTTCTTTTCTTCCTTCCTTCTCCCTGCTCTCAATATTTTGCTCCTTTCTTGACATTGGCCAGTACCAGGGACAATGTCCTGTCCATGGATGGTGGTGGCAATTGCAGGTCAAGGAAGTGTAGTAAGGTGGGACATTGGCAACATAAAGGGATTGCGCACAGAAGCAAATATATTGAAGATGTTAGGCTAGGGTCTTACTGATAGAGAAGTCAATGCAAGTATGGCAGAAAGGAAGGCCTGAGTGGACATGAACTTGAGTGAAATGCAATAAGACATTTAATCAAAGATGCAGATAAAAGGCAAAAACTAAATAGCAACACCCCAGCATAGTGAAAATATCCTAGTATCCAGACTTTGATTTCTAAACATTATTCTCACTACAAACATTCAAGTCTTCATAGAGAAATGGCTAACCTAGAGCTAAGCACACACACAAAAAAGAATATAAAATATGAAAGAGTAATTATAGCATCTTTCTTTGTCATAAATGAAGGAAGTAATATAAGATAGATGAAAATGTCAAAAACCTGATGGGTTCCTGTTGTCCACATATGGAATAATTTGTGCATCAAAAGAAGTATTCATGTGAATATATTCACATTGAAATAAACCATTGAACTAATAGGAATAACCAAATGGAAATAGAAAGTATTTTATAGTTGGATGTATAATAAAGATAGAAGAATTGAAGCAATTGAAAAATCACCATTCCTTATCCATGATAGCAATAATAGTTAAGTAGTGCTGAATAGAATGTGGGATGAGGAATGGGAGATTTGAATGGCCCTGAATTTTGTCCACACAATCAAATTATTAATTATAGAGTAAAGCATTAAAAAGAACAACTTTGGCAGTAGCCATTTTTGTCAAGTGGTCAAAAGTAATGTCATCAATATTGAGACCAATTTGCTCATGTACTATCTGATAGGAGGCAGCGAGAAGAATAGCAGCTCTCTTCTGTGATAATCTCATCCAAAATGCATAATGAGGTTCTCATCAGAAAAAATATAAAACAAAAGCAGAGTGAGAAACATTCTACAAAATGAATGTCCTGAAATTTTTCATCTTAAAATCAGTAAGGTCAAGGAGAGAAAGATATTGCTCCAGATTGAGGGAAATTGAAGAGAATTGACAACCGGGTACAAAGTGAGATCCTAGCATGGGTGCATTCATTAAGAAGGATGTGATTGGAAAATTGGCAAAAACTTGAGAGGTCCCTTGGTGAAATTTACTTTAAATTTTCAAGAGAAAAAGACCAGTTTTTTTAAAAAGTTTCTTTTTTAGTTTGCAGTTTTCTCTAATATCTCGTGTGTGTACCTGTAGAAGGACCAGGGCAGTAGAGTGCTTCCTCTAATTGGCTAGTTATATCTCACTCCAAATAATCATTGATATTGGAATTGGATATTTAGTTAGACATACTGTTATGGTGTCAGACATCCTTGGAAAGATCCTATGTTAATGCATTAATATTTAGAAGTGAAACAGATTATAAGAGCTGTATGGTAATCAGTCCATCCTGTTTGATGGACTGACTGGGTGGTAACTATAGTCAGGTGGGGCATGGCTGGAGGACAGGGGACACTGGGGATGTTCCCTGGGAGGTTGCTTCTTCACTGAGGACCCCGTTTGTTTTGGATGTTTGGTGTCCCCCAAAAGCTCATGTGTGGGTCTATGCAAGAAGGTTTAGAGGAGAAATTATTGGGTTCTGAGGGTCTTAAATCAATAAGTGATGGTATTAACTGAGTGATTACTGATAGCAGATAGGGTGTAGCTAGAGGGGATGGGCCATTGGGGGCATGTCTTTGGGATATATATTTTATATCCGGCACAGTGGAATCTCTCTCAGCTTCCTGATCATCGTGTGATTCACCTCCCCCCACCACACTCTTCCACCATGATGTTAAGCCTCATCGTGAGTCTGCAAGAATGGAGCCTGCTGTCTATGGACTAAGACCTCTGAAATGGTGAGCTCCCCCCTCAACAAAATTTTTCTCCTAAAATTGTTTTGTCAGGTACTTTTAGTCATAGCAGTGAAAAAGCCGAATAAAACAGACCTTTTCCTGGTCATGCAGAATTAGGGCAGGACACAGGAGGACAAGTCAAACTGGTTGGAAGCAGAGGACTTTCATTTTCCCAAGGAGCCAGAGCACCATGACAGATGGCTGGGCAATCTACATAGTAGAACTCAAGGCAATAGCCTAGACAGATTCCCTACCAAAGAGACGTTAGGAACACTACCTGGGCAGTCCCCATGTGGCCCAGATCTTTGCTCTAATTGGGATGCATCCATGTAAACTTAGCCTTAGGAGCCCAAAACTTGTGCTGGGACCCATAGATTTTGACATTGGTGACTATGAGTGAGTTCCACATCCAATGGCCAGGGACAATAGAAGTTTCCCCTGCATGACTTGCTCCTCTACGATTCCCAAGAATGGGGAGGCCTGAGGCTAGAATCAGGGTTTGTCTGTTACAGAGAGTTATGGAAGGCAGGGATTAGATGATTAAAACTGACTCTCAAAATGACTTACTGCCATTATAATATTACTCCCCAAGTGAGCATAGGTGGGTCCCCCAGTTTTCTCACTTTTTAAAATCATGATCCTTCTTATAGCTTCCCTGCTTTTTGGACCACCAGGGATATAGGAATAAAACCTAAGAGATTTTGGTTATTTGGGCTTATGCAATTGTCGAATCTCTCTTGACTGTCTCATTTTCCTTTTTTCCCAGAAAGAGGAGTTTATACAGATAGCAGCATTTGGAGATGTCCTTTCAACTTTGTCACTCTTCTAAGTAGATAACATGTTAATCTGGTATTGATAGTGTTGGCCATTGACAAACTGACCAGTCCTAATGGAGGCCTGTGTGGGCCTCTGTGGCAGCCACTACTCACACAAACCTTTCAATATCCACAAAGTTCCTCCCCTTTCTGGCTTTCAAATGCAAAGTCAAATCAAACTTAAAATCTGAAGGGAAAATTTCCTAGTGCTCAACAGCTTGGAAATTGTACTCATTGTTTGTTCAAATTTTCCCTGGTATAGTTTAAATAAAAGATATAGACAACATATATCATACAGACAACATATATCACTTCAGTAGGTAAAGGTGTAAATCTGAATGAAAAAACTTACTGTTAAGGCTGGGGTTTTTTTCTTCTTTTTTTTCAGATATCTGTAATTAGTAAAGTCTGGACAGATAGGTTTTATTGGAAATTGAAAAGATATCTGTTGAGATCTGTTTAGATTTGAGGTGTAATGGCCAATAGCATAAAACAAGAAATACATATTGACCTAAAACACAAATTTATAGTGCCTGGAATATTTTTCAAGAGAAAACTAAATTAAAGTATAAAGAAGTATGAAATAAAATAAATAGACCAAAATCTTATTAATGAGGCTTCTCTTTCAATATTCTTGACAGCTATGGCTCAAATAATACTCTTCCATGGCACCAATGTTATCAGGTAGAGGGAGGGAATACCTTTATGAAGTTCCACCTTTTCTGCCTATGTTCTCAAACTAACTTTTTGTTCAGAAAAATATAATCTTACAAAACTCTTTGCAGTGTCTCCCCTGGAAATACCAGGAACTGCCAAACCCAATATCTTTAGAAAAATGTGTTAAACCAGAGCGATTGACTTTAAGGGGGTAATCTTCCCCTCATTCATTTAGATGACTTTGCTCATGGTTGTGATATTATAACCAGAGGGGCACAAGCATTTTTAATTAAAAAATAGCTGTGAATTAAAGGATTCATTTTACCATGTGGAACTAAGAGACCAGAATATATTTATTTCAAGCAAAATAACAAGTTCTAAATTTTAAGGTCTGGGTCAACCAAGGATCATTTTATGTAATAATGTAATAGGATTATGTTTCACAAGTAATATCTAGGTTGTTAGCCACCTTATTCTCACAATCTCAATAAAATTCAGTTGAATTTCTTGTACACAGCATGCTGCAACTGACAACGCTGGAGTCTGGCCTAACGGATGCTTTTCTAAAGAGTCAAGTTCACTTGAAACTCATAAGAGGTAAAGAGTTTTACTTCCTAAATTCTGTATCTACCACTAGTTATGTGACCATAAACAACCCATACAAAGGTTTCTAATTTCTATGATCATTATCTGTAAATGAGATGGTGTGCTTTGCCCGGAGGAAGCAACTTGCTTACTTCCTGGGAGGATCTCTCCCATGTTGCCCAGGTCTGTAAGTTCACATGGTGTGCACACACACACTGTGATCACACACTGAGGAGGAGCTGTCTGGAGTGTTCAGGGAGCAATTGGTCCCTAAACACTTGGTAAGAATCTGTGTGTTGAGCGGCTTTCAAACTTCAAGAGTCTACCGGTAAGTAAAACTCAAAGAAAATGAAAGATGAAAGATGTAAAGTTAGCAATTTTTGTGATTATAAACACAATCAAAAACACCAAGAAATGGACAGGAGTGTTAGCTTAGTGAGAGGTTGGTTCACTGATGAAATTTCCCTTTGGTAAATTAAATTTAATTATAAATAAATTTTTGAAGTTTTTTTTTATATACCTCCTATATTATGTGATCTTGATGTAGGTCATTTATGACCCATAGTGATATATTTGTCCTCTAAAAGACTAGAAATTCAGGTTAAGCTAGCTTCCACATTTATGTTGTGTCCAGAAATGCAAATGAGTAAATATAGACTAAAACAGAATGTATGTGAAATGATGTGATTGTTTTTTTAGTGATAGAAAATCTATGAAGTTTCAGTCAGTTTTCACAATATTAGCTTGTCATAACCTCATGCAACATCCTAGACATCCCAGTATGTTTATCTAGGCAGTGTTTCATGAGGAGTAGGTGAACACTAGCAGAAACAATTTGCTTCATTAATGTTTTTGATGCCATATCATTTACTGTTGTCTTCTTGTTATACAATTGTTATGCCAGTGGATATACTTCTAATTAGATTCAAAGCATGAATACCCCTCTATGACTGTATCAGTGAAGAACAAAAAGAAAGAGATAAAGGATTGAGATACAGAACTTTTACAAAACCTCTGATAAAAAGATTTCCACTAGAATGTACAAAGCTGTAAAGAGACAGACCAATCTTAATCACATAATATCAATGGCAGGAGAGCTAATCTGAACTCTTCAAAAGGTAAGATGGAGATCCACAGGTATCCCAAATGAAGGTATGTATAGCATTATGATAATTTTAACATCTTCTATGAACCACAAATTTTGATACATTATTTTTATCATAAGATGCAAGATCATTATATGTATACAATAAATTGGAAGAATGGGTCTGATGAAATTTATGTATTTAGTATTATACTTGAATAGAGCTTAAGGAAAATAACTCAAAATTCTGTTTTCAGTACTTGACTTCCCTCTATTTTCCTTGTATATCTTCATATATGTACTTCAGTATACAAAATTATTTATTAGTGAACACTCTGAAATCAGGGTAATTAATTTTTAATGACAAGTCTTAAATGCATAATGTATAACAAATTCATTTATTACCTACTAGTCGTGTCCAGTTTCACATGAATAATTGCAATTTAATGCTGCTGAAGAACAGCTGCTGCTTTTCGTCTTTCCTCTGACTTCTCTTCTTGTGCCAGTGGTCTATCTACAGTGCAGCCTATCCAGGTGAAGGGTTTATTACTATACAACATCACATGTGACGGTTCAATAGAATGTAAATCTTAACCATTAATGGGAAAGACAACACAGAATGTCAAATTCAGAATTTTTCCATATTCAAGATTAACTGTTTTCTGATTTGACCTTTTTAAAAAATTAATAAGTTATACTGTGTTATGAAATAAGTAGGCATTATTAATAGTTTTCTCTATTAGCTAAGAATCCCACAAGAAAGGCACATTGACTTGATGCCACAATATTTTAAAAGTTAAAATTTATAGAATCAAACTTGTTTTTTTGTGAAAAAAAGTAAAAATTGCTAATGCAAAATCAATTCTACCATGTTTTGTTTGTTTGTTTGTTGTTGTTGTTTCCAATTTGGAGCCAGGGATTGAACTGAGGGGCCCTTAGCCACTGAGCTACATCCCTAGCCTCCTGTTTTATTTTTTATTTTGAGACAGGTTTTTGCCAAGTTGCTTTCATTTCCCTGCACACTGCCCTGTTTAGAGGAAAGCATTTTATTTGAATGATCAAGAACTGAATATGGGTAGTATAACACAAGCCACCCTGAAAGAAGGTGGTGGAATCTGTTTTGGTTTTTTGTTTTAATATTTATTTATTTATTTATTTAGGTGTAGATGGACAGAACACAATGCCTTTGATTTATTTCATTTTTTATGTGGTGCTGAGGATCGAACCCAGGTCCTTCCGGTGCTAGGGGAGCGCTCTACCGCTGAGCTACAATCCCAGCCCTGCAATCTGTTGTTTTGATAGTTTCTACGTGCTGACAGATATCTTGACTTCAGCTTCAAAACTGTCACAAGTGTGTCTTCCACCTCCCTTATTTTCTTGGGCTTCAGTTCCACGTACCAATTTCCTGTTTAAACGTTGTCATATCATAATCTTAAAATCAACATATCTGAGGTCTGAGATTAATTTTATTATCTTCTATTCAGATCAAATATTCTCATAATCTTCTTTTTGAAGGACCCATGCCAGCCCCGAAGTTAACAATAAACTTCATATAGTCGCATTTAGGAACTTCCATACTGTGACCCAGTCTACTCCTATTTAAGGAAATTTTCTATGTTCTTACTCTTATTTTTACTTAGTTCTTGGAATTTTTTTTTTTTCCAATTTGGCACGGGGATTGAACTGAGGGACCCTTGGCCTCTGAGCTACATCCTTAGCCCCTTGTTTTATTTTTTATTTTGAGACAGGTTTTTGCCAAGTTGTTCAAGGCCATACAAAGTTGCAGGGGCTGAATTTGAACTTGTGATCCTTCTGCCTTAGCCTCCCTAGCCTTTGGATTGTTCTATTCTTTTTCTCAACCCCTTCCTCAGGTAGTCTACACCCCTCTTTCATAACATCTCTTCAATAATTTAAACCAAAAAACACATTTGATACTTTGGGCCATAGAGATTGATTGATGAACAGGCAAATGACTAAGATGCTAGTAAATATTTTTTAGAAATGTTTCTCAGAAAAGCAGCTTCATTATCCAACATAATCCTTCTATAGTTGCTACTGCTTTCTTATATCTGAAAAGGATGTAAATTTAGGCTTAAGCAGAAAGCAAGGGGAAATTAAGAGAAACTAGACTCTGAATGACATTGTTGAACCACTAGATCATGACTGACCAGAAACCTATTCTTTCTTGGATTTTACATTTGTTAGTAAAAATATTGCCTGTGTCATTTGAGCTAGTTTAAGTTATGTATTTTTTTTCTTGCAATCTAAACATTCCGAAAAAGTACATCTTTCAGTTTGTGATTTCCCTTTTATGTGGATCTTACCATTCATTGGTTTATTAGGTGTTTTATTCCAATCTATGTTATAATGGTATGTATTTCTTACTTTCTGTCAGGCCAGAAATTTGGAACTTTCAAAGCTGTACACCAAGTGTGTTTATGACATCCATTTCACAATGCAGGTGACCTTGCTTATCTGTCATTCCTTTACACAAGTAAATCTCATATTATTGCACTTTGCTTTACTGCATTTTTGAGATATTTTATTTTATTTTTTATAGATTGAAGGTTTATAGCAGCCGTGCATTAAGAAGTTGATTAGCTGGGATGATGATTAGGCTTTTTACCAATAAAGAATTTAAATTAAGGTACGTGTACTGGCTTTTAGACATAATGCTATCACACACATAACAGACTCATAACTTTTATATGCACTGTGAAAGAAAACTTTAATGTGCACTGGGAAACCAAAGAATTGCGTGTGTTAATTTATTGCACTATATGCTTCATTGTAGTGATCTGGAGCAACCCACAATACCTCTGAAGTATGCCTATATATTAAATTCATATTAGTCTGATTTGAGACTGAGTTCTAATAAGTCATTCATGGAAAGGTAAAGAAATAAATGCATTCCAGGAAAAAGGCATAGCTTGTGAAAAGGCATAGAATTATGAATGGCACATGCCATTTTATTTATTTTTTTAATGAGTTTTAAAATCTTTATTTTATTTATTTATATGTGGTGCTGAGGATCGAACCCAGGGCCTGACCCACTATAGGAGAGTGTTCTACCGCTGAGCCACAACCCCAGCAACACACATGCCATTTTCAAGAAACTTCGGGCTGTTCTCTAAGGTGAGAGCAGAAGAGACACATTTGCACAATCAATACTTGAGAACCAAATGGAGTGACCTGTTTCCAAATTTGTTATTATCTTTCTCAAGTTTTGTTTAAAACCAACCAACAAAATTAACAAGCATAAAACCAACCTTTGTTGTGATCCCAACTTCCCTCTTATTCTTATCTTCATGCTGAGTTGGGGTTCAAATTTTATCATTTATTTCTTTCTAATATCTAGCACTTTAAATTGTGTTGATTTCTATTCCCACCAGTACATTTCCCTATACAGGGAGAATACAAACTCTAAGTAGCCTGCAGTTAATCCTTCTTTAGTTCTGACCCATATTCAAAGAATGTAATTGGCTTCATTGAGTATTATAAAAAAATATTTTGGCAATTAGACAGATTATTGTTGATATTTAAGTGGATGGATCACAATGAAAATCCATTTACAAGGTCTTGAATGTGAAGTGAATTGTTAAGCAGAAGAGGGTTTAAGTGCCTACATATTTTTTAAAATTTATTTTTTAGTTGTAGTTGGACACAATACCTTTGTTTTATTTATTTTTAGGTGGTGCCGAGGATCGAACCCAGGGCCTGTCACGTGGTAGGCGAGCGCTCTGTAGCTGAGCTACAACTCCAACACCCTAAGTACCTACTTTTTAAAAAAGAAGGAGTTTAATTCTATCTAGTAAAATAGGAAACTCACGAAATGGTAAGCTACAGAAATATCCAATTGTATGCTTTTTGTTGTTTTTTTCACTTTGGGAAGCTATTTTGCTAAAAGTATATGTTCTGAGAAATACAGAACTCTGTTCCAATAATTAAGTTCTTCTCTTCAGTGGGAAATCAGGCCGTCTATATTCTAAACTATCTTCCTGTTTTGAGACAGGAATTCTGCACTTTATTGTTGCCATCTGCATTGTTTTTTTAGGGTCCAATACTGAGAGCACTAGAAGGAAATCGGAAGCCTGTAGGAGACAGTGCAGCTATCCCCCTTTGAGCTTCCTACCTGTCCGCCTGTCCTTCACATGAGCATCATCTGTCCCAGCTTCTTCACTCCAGTCAGCAGCAACTAACGGCAATTCAGTTTTTTTCATTTCCTGTGAGTTAGTATCACAGTGTATACTCAGAAACACTGGAATCAGTCAACTAGTCCTCTAGTCAACTAGTCCTCTAGTAAAGCCATTACTATGTCCTTGGGATCTCTCTTTGGTTTTAATAATTATTATTACAACTTAACTTCTTCTAATTTTAATAAGTATTAAAACAATTTTTAACTGTGTGATAGCTCTGAGTTCTGTTTTTCACTGTCAGTTACCTAGCTAATAATTTTTCACTTAGTTAACAATTATTTTGAATTCTCATTGTTCAAATAATTAGTATACAGAATTCAAGTAATGAAGCAGAACCAGGAGGGTCATATATATATATGCATATTTATGTATATATGATTTATAGATAACATATATACATATGCATACACACATATTTGTACATATTCATTTACATATAGTTTGTTCCTTGGTATCTGCAGGGGATTGCCTCTAGTCCCCCACCCCAATGAATACCAAAATTTATGGATGCACAAGTCTCTAATATCAAATATTGTAGATATTTCCATATTACCTATATACATCCCCATATATACTCTAAAAAACATCTTAAAAACCTCTAGATTACTCATAATACCTAACACAATGTATCTGCTATGTAACACTGGATTTGGGGAGGAATAATGACAAGAGAAATGCCAATATGTGTTTAGTAAAGACAATTTTTTTTCCTATTTTTAAACTGTGGTTATTTGAATCCTTAGGTGCCGAATACACAGACATGGAGAACCAATTGTGTATATGAATTGGCTGAGAGTGTTGTGGATGCCTGGTCATCATTTCTGAAATCAACACAATAGCCCATCCAGAAGGGTAGGCTGCAACTTTTTTCAGGCACGCAAGCTGCTGTCCACAGGTGAGATTTCTTCCTCAGGGTAGTCAGTTCCGCTCTTTCAGTTACTGAATCAGGTCCACCCAGTTCATCTAGAATAATCTCCTAAACTTAAAGTCAATTGATCATGGGTTTTAATCAACCCTACAAAATACCTCCACAGCAAAAGTAGATTGATGTGTGATGCTATAACTGGTGAATACAGCCTATCCAAATTGACATAGACCATGACCATCACAGTTAGGGTGGTTTCCTACCTTGATATGTACCTCCAACTCAGATAGACCTTCTACTATCTGTAGATTGCTGGACTTTTTTTTTTTTTTTTCCCCTGGCTGATTAAATAATGGGAAAGAATTGCTTGGTGAATTTCTCATTCTAATTCCCTGAAGAGATCACACACACACACACAAAAAAAAGCTAAATCACCTGTGAATCTAAAGTGTGGACTCCAGCTCTTTGTCTTTGCATATTCTCGAGAGTGACCTATCTTTAGTAAATTTGCTTCTGTTCCTGCCTTTGGCTTCTTGTATTTGATTATTGTTAATAAATTTTGAGGAATCCAACTTAAGGTTTTACTGAACAACGAGCTATATTTTTGTTAAAATAGTGAATTAAATATGGTGTTCTTGATTGTTGCAATGTTATCAACCAGAATCTAATTTGCCTTTTAGCTTTCTGAATATTTTCATTAGATGCGTACATGTAAGAACTGCTCTAAATCTTTCTATGCTTTTCTGTTCTATTCATTTATTATTTTGGTCCAAGGCAAGATACCTAGTGAGTTCTCTGACCTTCAGTTACTTTCCATGTTTACTTCCCATGTTTCTGTGAGGTTGTAATAGAGAAGGTGAAGTACTCTGTACTTCAGGGACATTTACAAGGATTTCAAAAAGAGATGCACATAGCCATTCAGTTTCCTCTGTTCTAATATTTTAACTCAGTTTTCTATTTCTATTTAGAAAAGTTTTATTTGGCCTCTGGATTTATTTGTTGAACTTACTATTCGAATAAAAATCATCAAAGAAATTGTTTCCTTTGGAAGGCAGTTATAAAGAGATGTATGACGTTGATTTTCTAGATTTATTTTTCAGAATGATAAACATGAAAGAGATTGTTTGGCTTTTGTTTACTTAGCATTCCTAAGTAGCACTTATAGAACTTGCCTCCAACCCAGCCTTTACTAATGCTCTGAAAATAAATGCACTTGGATCCTAGTTTTAGTGCATCTGGTCATCATGCTGATATGACTATGGTCTCAATGCTATAGACTTGAGAATAATTTCCTGACTGCTGAGAACATAGTACCAGGGAATGTGGAATGAAAGCCTATTTAATGTTTCCTCCTGGACAAACTATACCATTCCATTCTGGAGTTTGTATCTGAAATGTCTAACTCAGTAAGCACAAAACACTGAGCAGAGGACAGATTGTTATTCTGCTAGATAGTCATCTCCTCATATAGACCCAGGAATGGATATTGGAATGAGAAACTAAGGACATAATAGTTTGGATAGACATGTGTATTAGTTTGTTAGGGATGATATAACAAAATACTACAGAATTTGTGGCTTATATAAAGGAAACATTTTTTTACTGTGTGGAATCTAAGAAGTCTAAGGAATATTTGATTCCTCCTGAGACCTCTCTGCTATGGTCCCTGAAATTAAAGAAAATGTGAGAAAATCACAGACTTGAGGAAGTTTCTGTCAATGGAAAATAAAGATATAGAAACAAACTGTACTTCAGTTTTACATCATCTATTGATATGCTTTTGACTTTCAGGATTTTGGTCAAGAAAAGATGATTATGCCGAAATGTATCCAGGAACGACCCCTTTAGTTGGACTACCTTCCTGTAGTAGACTGTCAAGGCTTTGCTTCCAGAGGACTCTTGTTGGATTACTCGTGCTGTTTCATCTCCAGGACTTGTGAAGAGCAGATAGATACTGGAACATAGATTCCCTCCACCCAGGATTGTCCACTAGTTAGTGGCTGACTGGTCCATAACCAGGAAGCCCAACATTCCATGTGGAAGCAGGACAAATTGCAGTAGTAAGAAACGAACACCCCCAAATAACCTTACGCGTCAGATTGAAGTTGGAACTTCACTGAAAATTTCACCTTTGCTTGCTTTCTTCTCTGTTCATGTTCTACTCCCCCAACTCCTGTCCATTACTCTAGCAATGTGTCTTTCATAAAGTATTTGCATATAAATCTTTGACTCAATGTCTGATTCTGAGGAACTTACCTAATGCAACTTCTGTGATTAGATTTTATTCTAGTTTGTTTAAGTTCTTTAGAAGTAATTAAATATTAAATCCAGACACTGTGAAGTAAGAGGTTTAACAACTTCTCTGTCTTGTATCAGCTTAGGGTCTGGGCCATTCATTCTACTGAAAAAAGGCAAAAAAAATCTAATCAATCAGTCTTTAAATTAGAAAAATAAATAAATCCTGCCATGTGGGTAAGGACAGTACAGGCTTATAATCTCAGTGACCTAGAAGGCTGACATAAGAGGATTACAAATTCAAGATAAGGCGGGTAGGGTGACACACACCTGTAACTCCAGTGGCTGGGAAGGCTGAGAAAGGAGGATTGGGAGTTCTAAGCCAGCAACAGCAAAGGTGAGGTGCTACACAACTAAGTGAGACCCTGCCTCTAAATAAAATATGAAAAAGGGCTGGATATATGGCTCAGTGGTTGAGTACCCCTAAGTTCAATCCTGGTATGAAAAAAAAAATTCAAGAGATGATTTAGCAACTTCATTAGATCAAGTCTCAAAACAAGAACTAAAAAGTACTGTAGATACATCTTGTAATGTTGTCAAAAACCAAAGTCCCATGATTTCAAGTTCAAATTTTAAAAACGCTAGGCAAAGTAGGGTCCATGAAGGCCTCCCTTGGGGAAGTTCCTTGGAGACCTCCTGGAAGCAGGACCTTCTGGGTGGAGTCTTCTGGAAGATCTATGCCAATGGGTGAATACCAAGGTCCAGAGTTTGGAGTCGTAGCTGCTGGTGTCTGTTGTAAGGCCTTGCAGTGAGTGCAGTCAGGTGTGTAGTAGCAGCTGTGACCCAGTCTGGGAAGCTTGCCTGCCCTCCCCTGGCTGGACTTGATCTTCTACTTTGGCTTCTTGACTCTTTTGAATTCTAACTCCCTGGGCAGACTCTGAGTCCAAGAAGAAGAAGGTTGTAGGTGGGTTTGAAAGTAAGACAGGCAGAGGTGGGATTTAGTCAACTGCAAGGTGGTGCCAGGGCACCCCGGAAATAGCCTTGGGGAAATAGATAGCAGGGTACCACAGGAAGATCATTTCCCATCTGGGTACTCAAGGCTGCTGTATATCTGCTTAGAGATGCCCTGCTTGTAGAACACCCAATCCACCAGTGCCCTGGCTACCCACTTCTATTGAGAAGATGCTGCCAGTCCACCCTGCTGATAAGCAGAGCAAGAACAATCAGGGAGGGCACCCTTAGATCCAGACTTGACCCCCTTAGATCTGGACATGATATCTCACCACCCAGCATCCCCAAACAGGAGTACACTACATGTAAAAATTTCACATTTTGGCAAAAATTTATTGAGAAAACAGAATAAAACACCAGCTCTGAAGTCTCCATGGTGGAGTAGGAAACCCAAGCTTTACTTCTAGGTATTCCTAACAAAACACTCCTCCAAAAATAGTTGCAGCAGAAATCTCAGCACTCCTGGGTCCCAAAGGTTGCAGACTCAAGCAGCCTCAGGGAATCTTGCACAGAAGGGCCGGGATCCACTCCCAGCAGCCTTGGCTGGTCTCCTGGCCTCTGGCGGGGGCAGGGAGAAGAGCACTCTTACAAGGGTCACCACCACCAGAGGTTTTGTGCTCAAGACCTCCCTCACACTTGCAGCTGGAACACAAGGAGCCCTAGAGGGTGGTCGATGGCGGGGCACCTTTGAGACCCCGACTTTCCTGGGGGAGCCTGCGGCTTCTTCTGGGTTGCAGAAGCCTGGTCTAGTACAGGAATCTCTGTGTCCTGGTGCAAGGTGCCATGTGCTTTTGGAACGTCATCTTTCCATGACCAATGCCAGAGAAGAAGCCCTTGGGGTATACAATACAGATTGCAGTGCAAGTCTTGGCTGTCATGAGTGATAACTTGTGGCTGGAGGTAGAAGGGCAGCAACTGGGCCTCAGGAAATATTGAGCTCAGGATCAGAGGCCTCTGGAGCCCTGGTGCCTGGTCTATAGAATTCCAAGCCTGTGACACACAGAAGAGAAAGTGCTGTTCCATGGTGTTTGGCACCTTACACAAGGTACCACCAAGTATGTGGGACTCAGCAGGCAGCAGATTTGGTGTTCTGAAACTTCTCTGGCCTCCAGGGAGTTTCTAACCACAGACTGGAAATCTGGGTGGTGTTTGCTTTAATCCTGAAATGAAATTTCATCAGAAAGCCGAATTAATGAGATTAACAACAACAACAATTATTTGTTAGTCTCTGTAATAGGAAGACTTGCTCCACACAACACACTGAAAAATAGACACTTTACTACTGTCTTTAGCAGGGTTTTCAGCACAATGTTTAGATAATCACAAAATGATTTGTTTGTAACCCTTTTCATTCCTGAACTCTGCCTGTGTGGTAGAGTACTTGTGAATAAGCAATAACTAGGAAATAAGTTTTGTTTTTCAGAGTTGGTCTATAATCTTGATTGACCTATCACTTCATACCCTACTCCATCTAATTCATAACTTGATAAATGAATTCCTAATATGAGAATAGGAGGACTTGGGGCTCTTTGAAGTAAATGAGGTCATAATCCCTCATTAAGTGTATTTATGGCCCATACTGGAGATTTTTTAAAACTATTTTGCTGTCAGTATCTTCCAAACACCCAATAGGATGATGCTAGAAATTCATAATAAAAACGGAAAGTAAAATTTCATAAAATTGAGGAAAGCAAAAAAACATTTGAAATAATATTCTGATCAAGGAAAAAAAGCACAAGGAATAGAAGAAAATACATAGATAACTAATAACAATGGAAACACACTATACCAAAATTGATGGGATGAAACAGAAACAGTGACCAGGAAGGTGTATTAGACAGGGTTCTCAAGAGGAAGAGATTCAACAGGACGTCTGATTATAAAAAGGGGATGATTAGATTGGCTTACTTGACCAGAAGCTGGATAGTCCCCAATGGCCATTTGCAGGCTGTAGAGCTGGAGGAACCAGTAGCTGCACAAGTGGCTGAAGCCCTGGAAAGAAAAGAGATCAACAGTGTTCTCCTAGTCTGAACAGGCTTCTGGAAACTCCCTGGACAATCCCTGCCAGAGTCCACTTTGGAGGAGTGAAGAAGCAAGAAACAGATATCCTCAAGTGATGGCATCAGCAATCAAGAAGATGAGCACTTGCATCTGCTGCTGCTGCCTTGTTCTTCCACCTTTTATTCTATCCAAGCTACCATCTTTTTGGAGGATGCTGCCCAACTTTAGGGAGGGTCTCTATTTCAATTGCTATCCCACATGCCAATCACACCTTCATTGACACACCCAGAAGCCTCTTAATCATTGGCATGTCTTAATCCTATCAGCTTGAATGAATGCTGACATTAACAAAGACTAGCAAGACTGAATCAACAAGAACACCAGAACAGGGCTGGGGATGTGGCTCAAGGGGTAGTACGCATGCCTGGCATGCGTGAGGCCCAGGTTCGATCCTCAGCACCACATATAAACAAAGATGTTGTGTCCGCCGAAAACTGAAAAATAAATATTAAAAAAAATTCTCTCTCTCTTTCTTTAAAAAAAAAGAACACCAGAACAAATCTACAACTTGAATAGGTAATCAAACACAAGGTGAGGCTGGGGATGTAGCTGAATGGTATAGAGCATATGCTAGAGGCCCTGCCTGGATTCAGTGTATATTGAAAAAGAACAGGAAAAAACTGTAGACCTCTACTCCTAATTCTATTAGTGACTATTTGAAAGTTGGATTATAGAGAACTGCCAGTGTGTGAATTCAAGATATATTTCAATTGCATCAATATTTCATATTTCAATAATGTATTTTGCAATTGATGCTGAAAAACTTGTGCATGAAATAAAGTATTAAATTAGGGACTGTCCTTTATTTCTGATTCTTCCTGATTGTGTTTATATTGTTCAACACTTAAAAAAATAAAAATAGATTGGGCTGGGGATGTGGCTCAAGTGGTATCGTGCTCGCCTGGCATGCACAGGGCACTGGGTTCAATCCTCAGTACCACATAAAAATAAAATAAAGATGTTGTGTCCACTGAAAACTAAAAAATAAATATTAAAAAATTCTCTCTCTTAAAAAATAAAATACATAAAAATAGATAAAAATTGTGTCAGGATGGCCAAGTGGTCTAAGGTGCCAGACTCAAGTGTATACGGGGTAAAAATGGGAGTTCATAACCCAATTGAATCAAAGTGTGAAATATGATATATCAAGAACTATGTAATATTTTGAACAACCAACAATTAAAAAAAATAAGTAAAAAGAAAAAAAGGAAAAAATGCCAGATTAATGAGAAAAAAAATAGATAAAATTTTTAAAAACCTATATGCTGAAAATTGAGGTACTTCCTTGAAGACCCATGAACATCTCTACAACTGATCTGGGTCATCAGTTTCTCTGGGAATATACTTTGCTTAGCTGTTTTGCCTTTCCTTGAAATATTCTTTTTGAATCTGACAAAGTAGAACATCTCCCTGTGGTGTATCAAAAGTGTAAAAGTAAGACTTTTGCAATTCACTATAGAAGTCCAAATGTTCAGACAACTCTGGGATTAAGTCCTGTGAATGTTTGGCCCCAGAACAATTACAGAGGTGGAATGAGTTTAAGAATACTTGTAATTAATATTGATCATACAGGATCAACAGGCAATGGAGAACCCTGTCTGCCCCCTGTGCAAGGGAACCCCAGCATCCATCCCTTGTCCAGCAAAGAAAAGATACCTGCGCAGGGCCCATACTGGCATCCAGCCAACCTGCCTTTCATTTCCCAATCTCCAAATCAAACACAAGTGAAAAACAATTGTTTCTATAATTTTATTATTCAAGGGACAGAAAATTTTATGAAATTTCAAGAAGGCATAAACTTCTCACTTGATTACTAATCTGAGAATTGTTTAACATCGTTTCTTCTCAGAGGATCACCCATTGCAGCATGTTAGCAGA